GTTTGCAGTTTTCTTAAGACCTCATCCTAGTACAGTCCCTTGGGAACCTCCCTCAGGAGGACTCCTGTGAGAGCCCCCAAGCAGTCAGCCCAACCTTGTGAGCTGACTTCTCCACTTGAAAGTGTCTGCCCCAGCAGATCCCGCCAGTAAACACCGCTTTGATTGGACCTTCCTCCTTTTTGAAAAGACTTGCTAATGAGACGGAGACAGGTGTATGACTGAGAGACCTGGTCCGCAGCTGCCCCGGAATTACAGAGGCATATTGAAACACGTCTTTGTTTTCGTTTTGAGTCAACTTGAACTAGAACCCGAATAGCAATACTTTTTTTCACTTTCCCTTATATGTATTTTAATTGTTTTAAGGTTACCAAATCAAGATTTCATTTATTTGATTTGAAAACACACAGAGAGATTTTCTTAATATAATGCACTTAGAATATTCACTACAGTGTTTCTTTTTTTTAATGAATTTTAAATTGTGGATTAGGTGGTGTAGGGGTGGGGTGGGTTAGTTTCAGACCATCAGTTCTGCTTTCAGCAGTTCAAAGCACACATCTAGCCCCTCCTCTACCCCGATTTCTCTTCCTCCCTTTATGGAGCTCTGTCTTCCCTTTCAGCGGCCCTGGTGCCATAGTGGTTACTCACTCAGTGGGCTGCTAACTTCAAGGTCAGCAGTTCGAAACCACTAGCTGCATCATGGGAGAAAGGCAGGGCTTTCTACTTACGCTAAGAGTTACAATCTTGGAAACCCACACGGGCAGTTCTACCTTGTCCTGTAAAGTCACTATGAATTGGCATCAACTCAATAGCAGTGAGCTTGGTTTGAGTGTGGCCTCCCTTTCATGGAAATCCACACCTGCCAGCCGTCTAGTCCACTGCTCCAACTCCCCACCCCTGCTCTCCCTGTCCTGGGAACGTCCAAAGACGTTCTCTTGGTTTTATGCTTGTAGTGGGGTCTCATGAAATATTTGCCCTTTTGTGACTAACTTCACTCAAGACGATGTTCTCCTGTATCATTCGTGTCATGAGGGGTATATACCATTTCTTTATCAGATTTTCTGTCGCTGGGCATGAGGGCTGTTTACAACTTCTTGCTACTGTGAGCAGTGCGGCAATGAGCATGACGTGCATGTGTCTGTCCGTGGCTCTTACTTCTTTAGGGCAAAGGGATTGCTGGCTCCTGTGGGGTTTCTACTGCCAGTATCACTTTCCCCAATGTTGTACACAGTTACAGAGCCACCAGAAGTGGGTGAGCGGTCCGATCTCTCTGTATCCTCTCCAACATTAGTTGTTGCTGTTTTTCAGTTGGATTGTCATCGTTGGTGTAAGGTGATACACGATTTTCCTTTTGATTCACCTCTCTCAAATGGCTCATAGTCTTGAGAATTTTTTCATATGGCTGTTGGCCATTTGTTTGTCATTTTAGGTGAACTCTCTGTGCCTGTCCTTTGTCCACTTTTTAATTGCATAGTTTTTTTCTTACTGAGATATTGCTGTTTTTATAGATTTTAGATCAAGTGTTTCTAAAGACTGAACACACACACACTAAGTATCACAAGGGGAAACTAAGTCTGTCTTAAACAGTCTCTTAAACGTTGAACATTAACTCCGTGTCCTCTTTCCTAGGGAGATGGGAGACAATGTGACATCCATCACAGAGTTCATACTTCTGGGGTTTCCTCTCAGCTCAAGGATCCGGCTCCTCCTCTTTGGCTTCTTCTCCTTGTTCTACGCCTTCACCCTGCTGGGGAACGGGGCCATCCTGGGGCTCATCTCGCTGGACCCCAAGCTGCACACCCCCATGTACTTCTTCCTCTCGCACCTGGCCATTGTTGACATGTCCTATGCCTGCAACACCGTGCCCATGATGCTGGTGAACCTGCTGAGTCCCAACACGTCCATCTCCTTCGCTGGCTGCCTCACACAGACCTTCCTCTTCTTGACTTTCGCTAACACCGAATGTCTTCTGCTGGTGGTGATGTCCTACGACCGCTACGTGGCCATCTGCCACCCGCTCCGGTACTCTGCCATCATGAGCTGGAGGCTCTGCATCACCCTGGCAGTGACTTCTTGGATTATAGGAGTTCTCCTTGCCCTGGTGCATCTGGTGCTACTTCTGCCCCTGCCCTTCTGTGGACCTGAGAGAGTTCATCACTTCTTCTGTGAAATCATAGCCCTTCTGAAACTCGCTTGTGCAGACACGAGTATGAATGAGCTCATGGTCTTGGCTGGGGCAGTGTCCGTGCTGGTGGGACCCTTCTCCTCCATTGTGATATCCTACATTCAGATCCTGTGTGCCATCCTAAGGATCCAGTCCAGGGAGGGACGCCAGAAAGCCTTCTCGACCTGCTCCTCCCACCTCTGTGTGGTTGGACTCTTTTATGGCACAGCCATTATCATGTATGTTGGACCCAGGTATGGGAACCCCAAGGAGCAGAAGAAATATCTCCTTCTGTTCCACAGCCTTTTCAATCCTATGCTCAACCCCCTGATCTACAGCCTGAGGAACAAAGAAGTAAAGGCTGCTCTGAAGAGGCTGCTTGGAAAGGGGAGAACTTCATGAAAGACTCGCACAATAATGAACATACTGCGTCTCGAAGACGGAAGGAACCTTCTCATCCAATACCCAATGCATGGCCATAGAAACTCTAGGGAAATGTTTTCATCTTCTTGACTTCTTCCTATGGGCACTTACCTATGGACCTTTCCCAAGAAAGTGCACTTTGTTCTCACCAGAACTAAAGTTCAGTGCTGCACAAGAAAATGAAAATATGCTACAACTGACTACATTGAGTGTACACTTTAAAAATGATTGTACATGATGTTGCCAATACCATGTAATAGTATTGTGTCTTGCTTTTTTGTTCTGTGAGCAAGACTTTTAGACAAAATTGAATAGAATAGAGTAAGGCACTGAATATGAAAACATTTAAGATATAGATGTTGCTAACTTGCTATTTAAAATAATTTTAATTTAGAAACTGTCATCTCCTTTCAAAATGTTTTCATTAAAATGTTTGTAAGTATTGATACAACAATTCATGATGATTTCTAGAACATAATCAACCTAATTAGGAGGAGCACAGATATGAATCCAAGAGAAAGATAATTAAGAAAGTAATTTTAAAACAGTATAATTTAAAAAATCCTAACATGTCAAGCTAACCAATATATTGGCATATTGTATACATTTTCTTCATGATGAAGTTGTGAGCAGATTGGAAGGAAAACAGAGTCCTAGGAAAAACTACACTTTTCTTCTGGGTTTGATAACTAGTTAATCAGTGATATGATAATAAGTTTATATCAGAAACAATTTAATTATAAATTAAGAGATTTTAGGTACATTAAAATTATCATTTTGCATAAAGATGAAACCCTAGATCTTAACTATGAAATAATAGAAAATAGTAATGAAGTGGTGGGAAAGTAATTCAAATATATCTGTAGACACTTTTTGGTTTTCATCTTTTTCCCAAGTTATAAACTTAATTGAATCTTGGGAATACCACAATTGCATGTAATAGGAAGGTGCCATTGAGTCGGTTCTGACTGATAGTAACCCTGTGTGCCATAGAATGTCGTCCTCCACCATCTTCCTGATTGTCCTTATGCTGGAGCACATCATTGCAGTCACTCTGTCAATCATCTTGTTGAGGATCTTGCTCTGTTTCGCTACCCTTCTCCTTTATAAAGCACGACGTCCTTCTCCAGGGTCTGCTCTCTCCTGATCACAGCTCCAAAGTACAGGAGACTAAGTCTCCCCATCCTTGCTTCTAAGGAGTATTCTGGGAGTACTTCCTCCAAGGCAGACCTGTTTATTCTGTTGGGAGTCTGCAGTGCCCTCAATATGCTTTTTCAGCACCACAGTTCAAATGCATTGGTGCTTCCTTTGACTTCCTTATTCAGTGTCCAACTTTCAGATGCGCAGGAGATAATTGACAATACTAAACAAATACTAAAACTGCGTAGAGTTAACATATTAATTTTTAAAATAAAGACAAAAAAGGGTTCCCCTCCCTTTTTATTAGTGAAGATCTAATACATATATCTTTCCATTCAATCACATCAAGTAGAATTTCAAATGGCTACTGCAATCAGTTTCCAAACATTCTTGTTCTCCCTGGACTTCTTGACATCATCACCCTTTCACCTCTCATTCTACTTGCTCTCCCTATAAGTGCATCAATCCTGGGGTTCAGATACCAAAAAATGGAAACGCATGTAACACAGCTTCAAGAGGGTGACCTCCATTGACATAACACCTCTGAGATACACTCTAATATAAATAAACACAAAACAAAACAATACAAACAAAAAATCCAGAGAATGTTGAGAACCAGATCAGGTCCAGCACACATTACTGGAGGGTTCTCACAAGTTGTCAACTGTTCAGGTCAGATTTGTGTCTTTGATCTTCTATACTCCTCTCCGCGACGCACTCTGTTTATCGACAACGTTCCTCCCATCCCTCAATTTTAGATAGGGGGCGTTCTCTGGAGGCTTCTTTCCTAGGCAATTCTATAAATGAATCCTGGCCTCCCACTGTCATCCATCGCCTTCTGCACACCAGATTCTCACAATTTAGGCTCTGATACTCATCCCTCCTTTGACTTTGGATGATATGGATTCCAATCCTTCAGACTGATGATGGTGTGCTTCTTCCATGTGGACTTAGTTTTTTAATTAGAAAACAACATGACTAACCTATATTCTCTCTCCAAGAGATGCACTTTAGATTCAAATACATAGGTGGGCTGTTAGTGAAAAGACAGAAAAAGTTATACTATGCAAATTGTGACCAAAGAGAGCTGGAGCAACAATTCTCTTATTTTGCAAATAAAGACTTAAAGACAATTGTTTCTGCAGACAACAAAGGCTGTTTTATAATCATAAAAAGGTTCATCTATTGTGAATCTATAATACTTATGACCATGTCCTCCTCAAAATAAAGCCTCAAAATATGTGAACAACAACAACGACAAACCCAGAACACAAAACCCAAGCAGAACTGAGCAGAAAATAGACTATTCAACCAGAATTCTTGAAATCCTACAAAGGGTGTTCTCTTACTACAATAAAAACAAAGTGATCCTACCAACGAGAGAATGAAATTTGGAGAATTTACAAATATATAAACTAAACATTCCAAAATATTTGATACAGATCTCTCTGGTGGTAGAGTGGTTAAATGTCTGGCTGCTAACTGTAAAGTTGGCATTTCAAACCCACCAACCACTTTGGAAGAAAGATTAGCTTCTGTAATGATTTCCATCCTTGGAAACCCTATGGGGCAGTTCTCCTCTGTCCTATAGGCTTGCTATGATTCAGAACCAGTGTGGCAGAAGTGAGTTAAAATATTCAGTGGAACAAAGAATAAATCATACAGGAAGTTAAAAAATACTTGAGGGTAAATTAAAACTAAAAACAACCTAACAAAACGTATGGAATGCACTTAAGCTGTTAATGCCTCCACTGAAAAAGAAGAATTACTTGCCTCTTGTCCCACTATCATGTTCAGCCTTCATTCAGGTTTAAGTAATTCCCCTCAGTTACATTGCCCTTGATCAAGCCCTACCAGGCATCCTACACCCTCCTTGCCTTTGAGGAAAGTAAAAGGAAATAGAAGAAAGAACTAAGAGGCAAATGGGCACTTATAGAGATCTAAATACAAGCATGTACATATATAAATGCATTGATATATAACAATAGAGAAATAGCTCTATGTACATATACCTATATGTTAAGTATTAAAATGGGGTCTGGACATTGGGCCTCTATTCAAGTACCTCCTCAACACAAAAACACTTTGTTCTAATAACCCGGCATTCTGTGATGTTTTTGTGATGTTTGCACATAAGCAAAGGTGGTGAAGAAAGCTGGTGGTGCCTGGCTATCCAAATATATAGTGTCTGGGGTCTTAAAGGCTTGAAGATAAACAAGCGGCGATCTAGCTGAGAAGCAATAATGTCCACATGGAAGAAGAACACTAGCCTATGTGATAATGAGGTGTCAATGGGATCAGCTATCTGGCATCAAAGACCCAAAACAAAAATCATATCAATGTGAATGAGGGGGAGTGCGGAGTGGAGAACCAAAGCTCATCTGTAGACAATTGGACATCCCCTTATAGAACAAGCATAAGAAAAAGATGAGCCAGTCAGGGTGCAGTACAGCACTGATGAAATATACAACTTTCCTCTAGTTCTTTAATGCTTCCTCCCCCCACTACCATGACCCCAATTCTACCTTACAAATCCAATTGGACCAGAGCATGTACACAGGTACAGAACAGAGCTGGAAACACAGGGATCCAGGACAGATAACCCCCTCAGGATCTATAATGAGAGTAGTGATACCAGAAGGGTAAAGGGAAGGTGGGGGGATTAAGGAGGAACTGATCACAATGATCTACATATAACCCCCTTCCAGGGGGACAGACAACAGAAAAGTGGGTGAGGGGAGACATTGGTCAGAGTAAGACATGAAAAAGGAATAATAATTTATAAATTATCAAGGGTTTGTGAGGGAAGGAGGAGAAAAATGAGGAGCTGATACCAAGGGCTCAAGTAGAAAGAAAATATTTTGAGATTGATGATGGCAACAAATGTACAAATGTGCTTGGCACAATGGATGTATGTACGGATTGTTATAAGAGCTGTATGAGCCCCCAATGAAATATCAGCAATCAGAAAACATGATTGTAGAGAATAATAACAACAGTTATATTGTAGGAAATTAGATTACCTAAATAAAATGAATGGGGCCTGGTGGTGCAGTGGGTTAAGCACTGAGCTACTAATTACAAAGCTGGTGGTTCACACCCAACAGCTGCTCCTCTGGGGAAAGATGAGGCTGTCACCTTCTGTAAAGACTTACAGCCTGGTTACACTCTGTACTATAGAGGTGCTGAGTAAGGATTGACTTGATGGAACTAGGTTTTCATAGAAAAGAAGGATTGGCATGATCCTAGGAAGACACACACACGTACACCCCTTACAGAGAATAAACAAATACAATAAGGTTCAAAGACAAAAATCTAAAATATAGATGCTATATGTAAATATGTTTATGTGGATGAGGAAACACATCTATGTGCATATATTTATAGGTTCTGTATTAAGATAGCAGATAGACACTGGGCCTCCACTGAAGTACTCCCTCAATGCAAGAATACTTTCTTCTATTAAACTGGCATTCCATGATGCTCACCTTCCCGACACGATCTCTGAAGACAAAGTGGGTGCATAAGCAAATGTGGTGAAGAAAGCTGATTGTATTAGTCTGGGTACTTTGGAGAAACAAATCCACAGCAACTCATGTATAAGAGAGAGTTTTATGTGAAGAAAATTTGCATCACAAAAACATCCCAACCCAATGCTGCCCAAGCCCACAAGTTGAACATTAACCCATTAACCCAACACCAGTCCACAAAGTCCTCCACCTCACAAAACAGAGGCAATGATGCCGACTGCAGGAGGAAAGCTGAGTCAGTGAATGAACAAGCATCTCAGCACTAGCAGGGGTCTCCACACGGCTGCTCTAGCACCCAGGGCTGCATCGGGGTAGGTCCATGTAGCTTCTCCTTGGGGATGTCTTGTAGGAAGTCAATCTTGCAAGCTGAAGCAGGGAACTGCTAAGGCAGCTGCACCCGGTGCAACCATCACAAAACAAGAGACCCGAGAACTAGAAAGGTGAGGCTCACCACCCATTTATCCCTCCGCCTTTCAATTAGCCCCACATGTGATTATCGGCCAGGCTGGCACAATTAACTAACTCACTGATGGTGCCTGGCTATCCAAAGATATAACATCTAGGGTCTTAAAAACTTGAAGGTAAACAAGTGGCCAGCTGGGTTAAATAGTTTTTAATGAATTATATTAATTTAATTTTAGTGAATTAAATATTAATTAAATGAAATTATTTGTTAAATCATTACTAAATAAATAAAACAAGGTTAAATGGATTTTAAAATATCTTAGTCATTTGTGGTTATGTATCTGTGTCCAGCTGTGTGAATGCAGACAAACCATTTGGCATCTAACTTTTATTTAACACAATACTTCTTACAACAGAAAGCTTAGGAGATTTCCCCTATGTGTGTAGAGGATGTATTGGAGGAGGGAAGGGTAAAGAATGGAACAATGAAGGAGTGGCTAGAAGTTTTAGGAAGGTAGACAGGTACATGGGAATAATAAACTTCCATTAGTTCTAAGTTATAAAATATATTTACAATGGAGAATTCTGATAATTCATTTCACAGCAACAGATTTAATGAGACAAATCTGTATCTCTTCCTTGGGAGTAATAATTCTTTTGAGTTACCTTAACTAGCTCCTCGGGGAGACAAACGTATTGCATCACGACAAAATACATAAAGTATGTATGGCTTGTAGCAGATAGAATTCATGCCAAGGTCCTTCAGAGAGTGAACATCCCTCCAGTCTTCCTGAGCCCTCACGTTCCTGCATCAACACAAACAGGGATGACCAACTGGAGAGCTGAGAGGAGGTGGGCAGTTGCCACGCTGTCTGGTGGGATGTCTCTTCGTGGTCTGCTCCCTGAATTCCTGAATATATCTTTGGGGAACAGAGGTGGGCCTTAGATGATCTCCATCCAGATGCCCCCTCACCACCCCCTGTGCCCTGGCCTGCTTATCAGGAGAGGAAAGAGCATCAGCAAAGGTCCACTGGACCTTCGTCAGGGCTGGGAGCATGCAATTCCACTCCGAGGTTCTCAATCTCTGCGTGTTCCTGTGGACTCAGGCCCAATTTGGGGAAACTACCAGAAGCTGTCCGTGTGTGTATAGTCATCATATACACTGATTCTAATTTTTCTCTGCTGGCCATGACTGACTGGTGTGAACAAGTCAAAGTGAGCACCAAGGCTCGGAGCGTTGGGCCTTTTACTATCAAGTATGTTTCTGTGAGGAGCACAGGTGCCATCGTGGTTACGAGTAGGCTGCTAACCATAAATAACCAGCCTCTCCGCTAGAGAAAGAGGTTTCGTTTCATTTCGTTTTGTTTCCCTACTTCCATAAAGAGTTACAGTCTCAGAAACCCGCAGCGACAGTCTCACCTTGTCTTACAGGGTTGCTGAGTCAGCATTGACTCAATGGCAGTTAATTTTTTTTTTTAGTTGTGTTATTTCCAGATCAAAGAAGCTTCTTTCTATTAGAAATTTTTTGTTGTTGTTTAAACATTCTTTGGGGACTGGAAGCTGAAATTGGTCGTCTTGTTGGGTTTATCCTTACTAAAGAGCATCTGCTCTCTGCCAATTGGTGTTTGGTGTGATATCGATACTGCCATGACCAGTTAATGGAGGTGCAGAAACTCATTTTTCATTATTCTATTTTCATTTTTTTTCTATTTTCATTTTTGTTGTTGTCGTGGAGGCTGATATTTGCATTGTCCATGTAGTTCCATTTGTCTTCACTCTTCTCTCCTGAAGACAGGGAAAAACCAATAGTTGCACCTTACATAGCTGCTGCTCACAAGCTTTGAAGACCCCAGTCACTGCTTATTAAGGTTGGAGGTAGGACATTGTTTTGCTGGACTCTGTTACTGGCACTTTTCCATATTTCCTCTTCATCCTCATTCGCTGCCATGGAGTTGATTCGGACTCATGGCCACCTGCTAGCACGAGTGGACCTGTCCCCTGGGACAGTGAGAGGAGCACAAGTCTCATCTTTCTTCTTCATCTTGTAGGTTTGAACTGCTGACCTCGGTGTTAGTCGTCCACCTTGTAACTGTCTATGTCACCGAGGCTTCTCCTCCTATTCTTAGGACAACTACATTCTAGAATAATCTCGCAGAGAAATCTTGAGAAAGAAATTTAGCTCTGTTGTTGTTGGGTGGCTTCAAGTTGATTCTCAGTCATGGCAACCCTGTAAGACAGAGGAGAGCTGCCCAGCAGGGTGTCCTGGGCCATGATCTTTATGGAAGCAGACTGCCAGGCCTTTCCTCCTCAGATCTACTGGGGTTCAAATGGTCAGCCTTACAGTTAGTTAAGGCTCAACCGTTGTGTACCATTGTTCCTTAGTGAAGACAAAGATTCTATGAATGATCAGAAAATTATGAGGCAAAGTAAAAATATAAGTTTTATAGATCAACAACACAGACATGGAAGCTGGGTTGGACCAATGAGTGACTCATTGTGGTCTCTGGAATGAATTCTCACTGTAAAATGAGTGCATACACACACACACATAATTAAATATATATATTTAATTTTCCATTTCTATATTTAGGGTTATTGTGAATTGGAATCAACTCAATGGCAGTGAGTGAGTATTCTTCAGCTTTGAATTTTCTATAATAAGCACATCATAGTCATCAAAAAGACATGAGGAGCAATGAGACATGGATCACAGAAATCACCCTGCTGGGCTTCCAGGTTGACCCCGGGCTGAAGGCTTTCCTCTTTGGGATATTCTTGCTATTTTACATCCTCACCATGATGGGAAATGGGACTATCCTGGGGCTCATCTGGCTCGACCCCCGACTGCACAGCCCCATGTACTTCTTCCTGTCCCACTTGTCCATCATTGACATGTCCTATGGCTCCAGCACTGTCCCCAAGATGCTTGAAAACCTCATGATGCAGAAGAAAACTGTAGCCTTTGGTTCATGTATACTTCAGACATACGTCTATATGGTTTTGGGTCACACTGAGTGCATGATGTTGGTGGTGATGTCCTATGACAGATACGTGGCCATCTGCCACCCTCTCCAATACATTGTCATCATGAACTGGAGAGTGTGCACTGCTCTGGCCAGCATTTGCTGGGTGTTCAGCTTCCTCTTGATTCTCATCCATATCGCTCTCCTTCTGAGGCTTCCCTTCTGCGGTCCACAAACCATCAACCACTTCTTCTGTCAGATCATGTCAGTATTGAAACTGGCCTGTGCGGACATCAGACTCAACCGAGTGGTCCTCGTCATTGCTTCAGTGAGCATTCTAGTGGGGCCCCTCTTTCTGGTGCTGGTCTCCTATACCCGCATCCTCTTTGCCATCCTGAGGATCCAATCCAGAGAGGGACGCAGAAAGGCCTTCTCCACCTGCTCCTCCCACCTCTGCGTGGTCGGACTCTTCTTTGGCAGTGCCATGGTCATATACCTAGCCCCCAAATCCAGCCATTCTCAAGAGCAAAGGAAGGTTTTATCTTTGTTCTACAGCCTGTTCAACCCAATGCTGAACCCAATGATCTACAGTTTGAGGAACGCAGAGGTGAAGGGCGCCCTTCGGAGAGTGTTGTGGAAGTGGAGAGCAGTGTGAGGCGGTTTCAGTGTCCTGAGTGTGTGAGCTTTGTCCTCATGCTTCTGTGCTCCGGCATGCCATCGAAACCTCATCATTTACCATCCGCTTACTTGATGTCTTTAGATTTTACAAAATAAGAAAATAAATCTTCCTGTTAAGCCCTTTTAGGTGTGGTCTTCTGTAATTTGAAGGTAAACATATTCTAAATGACAGAAGAAATATCTAATATGAGGGGGCACTCCCCCTGCAGAAAAACTGGAAGATTGTTCTGCTGGGTAAAGCTTTTGTAATATGCATTTTTCCTGCTAGGTAAGCATCAAGCAACTGACTCTGAGTTAGTGCACCTAGTGGTGTCACCTGGAAAGGTTCTCTCTGGTCACAGTGAATTTTTTCATGAAAGCACTTTTGCTTGAACCTCATTTTTTTGTGATGACTGATTTAAGAGACTGTGTGAGGTCATGAAATTATGTTTCCTGCTCTGGAAAATTGCCACAGAAACTGTTGAGATTTTGAACACAGCTTACAAGGATAGCACTATGGGAAAAACTCTAGTGTGCGAGTGGCTTGATTGTTCTAAAAAAAAAGATGAAATGTCAATTGATGACAAACCTTGTTCTGGATGTCTGTCAACTTTCCGAATGGATGAAAAATGTCAACAAAATTCATGTACATGTGCTCAAAGACTGAAACCAGGCCAGTGAAGAGATGGGTAAGATATCTGGACTATCTTGGCGCACAGTTCAGTGAATTTTAACAACAACAAAAGACCTGATTTGTGGCAGACAGGGGACTGGTTTTGCCACCACGACAATGCAACTGCTCATGCAGCCATCTCAGTGCACCAGTTTTTGGCAAAAATCAGCATGCATCTTTTGCCCCACACACCTTACTCACCTGACCTTACTCCATGCACCTTCCTTTTTGTTTCCATGAATAAAGAGGGACATGAAAGGGCAGCTATTCGATGATGTATAGAGGTGAAGGAATAAAACAAAAGAGGGAGGTGCTGTCAGCCATCGAAACAGATGAGTTTGAAAAATGTTCCCAAGAATGAAATTGCAGATGTATTAAATGTAATGGAGAGTATTTTGAAGGTGATAAGGTTGTTTTTTGTAAATTTAAAATGCACGCCTTTGAAAAAAATTCCGGTTTTTTAGTGTGCTTAGAGTCATTCTGTGTATGTCTGTGTATGTGTTTTATATATGTTTACATGTGTGCATGTGTATATATACTTTCTGCATGCAATAACTCAGGAAACATAGATGTGTGAAATGCTAAAGGAAACAGACAGACCAGATCTTTGTGAAGCATCATTTCTGATGTAGGTTTAAACTGCCAGGGTGACTGTTTGACCTAGCGTCATCCAGGGAGGAAAGCAAAATGTGAAAAGCACAAGCCTTCATCATGTAAAAATAATACACTTAAAACTAACAAAAAAATCCGGGAGAAGTAGAAGCCAAGAGGATTGGTGGTCACATTTCATAACATGAAATTGAATTATAGGGCCTAAAGCTGAACTGTGTCATGCACAAATGACAAAGACTTCATTTTCTGGCAATGTGGAAGACTAGTCACCCTAATTCCTGCCACTAGGCTGTAAACAACTAAAACAAAAATGTGTGTGTGTGTGTGTGTGTGTGTGTGTGTGTCTTTATAGGGTTGCTATAACAAAGTCCCACAAGCTGGATGGCTTCAAACTACATGAATGTTTTCTTTCTCAGCCCTGGAATTCAGAATTCCAAAATGAGTGCACAGACTGGCCCCTGCTCCCTTGAAAACTGCAGGAGAGAGTCCTCAGCCTCTTCCAGCTTCCGGTGCTTGTCTTCAATCTTTGCTGCTCCTTAGTCTCCGGCTCTACCAGTCTCACTCTGTTTCCATTAAGACATGACCTTCTGGTGTGTCTCCCCCTCTGTCCCTGTATCCTGAGGTCTGTCTCCCCTCTCCTATACAGATATCAGTTATTAGATTCAAGGTTCACTTGAATCCAGTTTGACCTCATATTTGGCAACAATATCTGGAGAGATCTTATTTGCCAAATCAGGTCACGTCCTGAGGTTTTGGGGAGACATAAATTGGGAGCGGAAGTGTGTATTGGTGTATGTGGGTATGCACGTATGTAAAGAAAGAACACCGTGTACAATCATCAGCACAAAGAGGGCCCACAATTTTTCTTCTAAAGGCATTAGAAAATACTTTGAATATATTGTAAACAACTTTGTCGTTATATTAAAAAATCTAGATGACATTGCAACTTCTTGGGAAAATAAGCCTTATGAAAATTGAGCCAAAAAGAAACCAGAAATCTAAGCCATCCTAAAACCATCACTAGAATTTAATCCATACTCTTCCCCCAAAACATAACAGATATGGGTAATGTCAATATAAGTTTCTGGGGGGGATAAACGTTCCAGGAAGATAATTCTTTATCAGTTCTAGTTATGCCATCTGAAATTGATCAACATACATTGATAATCACTTGAAAACGAGATTCTGAAGTTGGAAACAAAGGATCCATAGCTAGGACCATCAAATAAGAAGCATTACCAGTGGAACAGGTTCAATGTTTCTGCCTAAGGTTGTGAAGGTCAAGAACAGAGGCAATACAGGCCATGCCAAACCAAGACCAGAGGCTGACACAAGGGAGCAGAGCATACAAGTGCAGATACATGAGATTGTGAGGCAGCAGAGAGGGTGAGCTTCCTACCTCATGAAGGCAGAGGCCAACGAACCACACAGCTGAGAGGTAGAAGACCAGAGAGTGAGGTTGAAGAGAGGTGTTATGTTGCTGTGTACCAATGACTGTATCTTTAATGTTTTCTGGTCCTATCTTGTAATAACCTCTTTACTTCCCTAATAAATCCTTATAATTGTGAGTGTTGTCTGTGTTTTTGTGTGGCTATTGCAATGAATTACTGAGTCCAGCAAGAAAGCCATCAGATAAAGTAGCGTTGGGGTCTTAAAAGCTATCCATAATAAAGGGATGGGAGGAAATTGGTTACAAAGAGAGTGTATTGGAATGATGGTTATAGAAGATCAAAAATCATAAATCTGACTTGAACGGTTCAAACCTTGTCAGCTGATCTCCTCTCTGATGCGTGTTAGGCCTGATCTGGTTTTCAACACTTTCTATGCTAATTTGTGTTTAGTTTTTCATGCTGAGGTTTATCT